CTAAAGGCAAACATAAGAGGGAGTGGCTTATGGCTGCAAGAATCTGGCCTCCTGTCTCTATCCCTGACAAAATGAGATTATCTCGAAAACGTAAAATCAAATGCTTTACCGCCTTACATCCAGGCCCCCTAAAATGCATGTGTTTTACACTTTTAATCCCTGGACCAAACAACCTAACACACGGCCCTTATGGACTTTATTTCCTATTATTTATATATTTTTTCTTTCTTTTCTTTTTCACAATAATCTACACATATATAAGTGAAAAATCGTGTAAGACTAGTTGGAATTACCAGTAATCAACATTTTTGTCCAAATTTATCAAAATAAAAATAACAAATATTTATCCAAATTCAAAGTTTAATGAGAAGGGTTTTGCTAAATCAATAAGATAGAATTGAAGTTTCCAAACAAGAGTTTGTTTGAATGTTCTATCTGTATTTATTGTATGGAACACATGCTACAATGGTATAGAAAACAAAGTTGTGTTGGATATTATTTTAATCAAGATCAATCATATTTTTCTTTCATAATCTAATATTTTAACATCCATATTATTACGTCAATTTTTTAATATGAAAAAAAAATATATGACATAAGTAGTATCAATTATGAACAATGTGACAAATTTACAGTAGGAATATAACTTATCTTAAAATAGATGCTAAATCTTAATCGATTAATGTCCAAAAGTCTAAATAAAGTTAATATTTATCTGATGAAAAATATTATCGGTTTTATTTTAAGAAGTAACTACTCATATCATATAGGTCTTTTGGATAGAGTTGGGTATTACTCCTATTCATAAATATATTGAGAGATAAGAGATTGGGATGATTTGAACACGTTCACAGAAGACAAATGACGACACCGTTGATGATATTAGAAAATGTGACGGTCAAAGGAAGTGACAAGGAGGACAAGCCAGTGAGGGCATAGAGGATTCGAGAACTGGAAGATAAATTACCAGCGCCTGACGGGTATGAGGGGATGTTTAGTTTTTCATAATTTTCTAATGTTTTCTAGTACTGTCTTGTGTACAACTTTTTTTTTAGTATAAACTAGTATAATATGTTGTTTTCTTTTGAATACTTTTTGTAATTCACCTATTTGTTTCAAAGTTATTCTTGAGTTTTTCAAAAACTTCAAAACAAAAACTAATAATTTTCTGAAACATTCGTGTTTTGCCAAAGCTTTTTTGCCAACACTTTATCGTTAGTCGATGATATCACAAAAATAATTTCTCTATTTTTTAGATTTACATAAATCTGTTTCCAAGTGGACATGTTCTTATGAGGAATATGATCACATCCCTATAAACGAGGATTTCTTAAAACCCAAAAAACAAACAACACGAAACCAAGTCCCACACTTTAATAGGAAACACCATATAGAAAATATGTGAACGTCCAAGTGAGGAATCAATTGAGTGAAATGAAACAAGCTTGAAGCTTGCTACTAAACCCAAGCGTGACACTGTCTTTTTTGCTTGTTCCATTTTGGGGCTCTTAAAGGTGCTGCACATAACAATAAATATATATAATCACTTCATCATGCATAATTTGTTGGTCCAACAACAATGTGTAGTTGAAAGTCCAAAACCACTTCAACTATACATTGATGTTGCATAGTTGGACAAATAAATTCCGTATGATGGAGTGATTATATATATTTTTTGTTATGTACAACAGCTTTAAGAACCCCAAATGGCACAAACAAAAAGATGGTGTCGCGCTTGGGTTTAGTGGCAAGGTTCAAGCTTGTTTCATTTCACTCAATTGGTTCCTCACCTGGACGTTCACATAGTTTCTACATAGTGTTTCATATTTATGTGCGGGGCTTGGTTACATGATTGTTTTTTGGTTGTTAAAAAATCCTCGTTTTTCGTTGGAAACAAGGATGAGAATATGATCATAACAAAGACGGAGGATGATGTAACACCCCAAATCGTGGGCTATTTGCATTGTTGATTATAATGACATGCTTATGGTGTCAAGTCTTTAAGGGTGCGTTTGGAACGCAGACAGGACAGGACAGGACAGGACGGGACAGAACAGGACAGGACAGGACAGGACAACTGTTCAGCGTTTGGTAAGACCTGATAGGACTGGACAGAACTGGTTAAAATGACCAATTTACCCCTACTGAGTCAATCCTAGAATTCTAACCACCATGATCAAAACCCAATTTTACAATGACAAATTTCAAACCCTAAATCGATTTTACAGTGACAAATTTACAAACCCTAAATCGATTTTACAGTGACAAATTTCAAACCCTAAATCGATTTTACAGTGACAAATTTACAGTGACAAAYTAGAGCTGTGACAATCAATTTTACAGCAAACCCTAAATCGATTCAGATCAATTATTAAATTATTCAAACCCTAAATCGATTTTATACAACTTCAATCAATTTTACAGTGACAAATTTCGATCAAAACCCAATTTCACAGCAAACAGATCCATAAATCGATTCAAACCCTAAATCGATTCAAGCATTACAACCAGCAAACCCTAAATCGATTCAAGCAAAGCAACCAGCAAACCCTAAATCGATTCATAGCGATGGAGAAGGAAATCGTGTACCTGATGAAGGAGAAGGAGGGTGCGATGGAGAAGGAAATCGATTCAAACCTCCCGTCGCCGTCGCCGATGGGGAAGGACGCACGATGAGGGTGCGATGGAGGCAGTCTGAGAATGGAGGAGCGAGTGCGATGGAGTCTGAGCATGGAGGAGCGAGTGAGCATGGAGGAGCGAGTGAGCATGGAGGAGCGATGGAGAAGGAAATCGATTCATGGAGGAGCGATGGAGAAGGAAATCGATCCCGTCGCCGTCGCCGTCTGAGCATGGAGGAGTGAGTATGGAGGAGCGATGGAGGAGCGATGGAGTCTGAGCATGGAGGAGCGAGCATGGAGGAGCGAGCATGGAGGAGCGATGGAGGGTAGATTAGTAAAAAAAAAGTCTGTTCCACTTAGTTCCAGGGGTGAAGGGTGAACACCCGTGTCCCATGTGTGTGCAAGTTAGTTCCAGTTAGTTCCACTCAAAAACACACCAAACGTGGGACAAGTGTGTCTTGTCCTGTCCTGTTCCACCCTGTTCCACGTACCAAACGCACCCTAAAGATAAAGATTATTTTGTCAAATAATGAATATTAGAGAAATAAGACATATTTATAAATAAAAAGGAAAAGAAGTTTACTTCAAATATAAGAGCATCGGCAATGGAGGTTTTTGATGGAGTTCTTTTTAGAGTTTTTACTAGTACATCTGAGACGAAGGTTCTTATACAGTCAATGTTCTTATTAGAACCGAGGTGTTCTAACAAGAACCAAAATTCTTCCATACTTTCATTTTCTATTATCATTTTATTTATTTCTTTACCATTTTATTTTCTTTTAATAAATCTATATAACATAATATAAAATAAATTTTTTTAATTTTGTTTTATTTTTCTTTTTTTATACGATTTCTTTAATTATCTCATTATATTGTATTTAGATTATTTTTCATATACTTATGTGTGTGTGTGTATAGGGTTAGGTTTCCGTGAGAAGTATAGTTAAAGTCAAAAGACTAAGAAATGATCTACACATTTGGATGCACAATAAGATGAGATGCACCGAGATGCACCAAATCAATCTCCGTATCAAACATAATCCATATGTGGGTTTGAGATTAAAGTAGATCAAAATCCATATCTTTTCTTACGTTTATCATATTAACTCTCATTTTAACACATTCATCTGCACGGTCACACACACATATTATATATATATATATATACACATATGTATGTATGTATGTGTGTGAACTCGTGTGATTCACATATGAACTATATGTTCATATGTATACGTAAACATGTGTAATTCACATATGAACTCTTATGATTCACTTATGAATTAATTAACTGATTCGCATATGAAGCCGTATGATTCACATACAAACTAATTAATAGATTCACATATGGATTGGTTAAATAGTTCACGTATGAACTAATTATTGGGTTCACATGTAATAAGATAGTTCATGTGTGAATTACATAGGTTGACATGTTTGCCACCTATTTATAAACATTACAAAACTACCCCTCTATCTTCAGCATACACATACGAATAACTATTCGGTGGTTTACAGTCAAGGTCGCAAACGTTGACGAAAATCATGAACTCACTGAGCTTGTAAAACTAATTTTTAATATGCATATGAGGGGCAGTGAGATTGAAGAGTGGACAAGGGTAAGGGTCTTGCTTAGAGATTTATATATATCAGATTTTCGAATGTTTGAACTTATTTTGTAACGTAACCTGGTATGAGACGAGTTAACGTTGGGTTATTAATCGATTGTAAGACTTCCCCTGAGAAAGGGCTTTACTAGTTGCTATGTTTTGGGCTATCAATTATTACTTATTATTAATGATGTAACATAATTTATGGTGAAAATGAGGGTGATTCATTATAGAGATGGAGATTGGGATCCCGACTCAATTTCATGTTTATCCGTCATTATTACATATCAAAGGCTACCTAAAAGATTTATCAAGAAAACACAAAGGTTTAAATATATATTAAAAAGAAATAATCAAAGTCTATTCAATATGACTCTACCAAATTCTTAAAGGCTAGATGAGCACAGATCATCTGAGAAAATAGAGAGCTAAAATGGATGAGGAGGTAAGACGAGGAAGGTTTATAGAGTGACTAGAGTCTCTTGAGCGGTAGACTTTTGCTTTGTATAGAACATCATTAGAGAAGAAGAAAACGCTAAAGGAGAAAAGGAAGTTTCATCATATATTAACAAGTGATTCAAATAATAGCCGACACAGTTCTCTAGTGGTAACAAATCGCTTAAAAATCGTAGTCAGCATGTCTCAATGAACTCGAACAAGAACCACCAGGTTGTGTTCGTTGCGTCAAAAAACCGCACCACGAGATCACAGTCAAAAATCGTAAAATCATACACATCTTCAAAAATATTGTGGGATTGAATAGTTTATAATCATAAAATTCATATATGTATCTGCAATTTCAATTCACGAACCCCTAAAAAGGGATGGAAGTAATATCATGAATAATCAACAAAATCAACGAAATACACGGAAGGTTTCCGAGCGTTTTCATGGAAAAGAATTTAAGGTCATGACGAGAAATTATACAAAATAATACGACTGTGATTAATATGTACATAACAGATAGATCGAGTCAAAGCGTACAACCGCAGAAGACGAAATAACAGGCAAGCGTAAAGGTAAGAACCAGAGACTCTACCGCCATGACGAGGTTCCAAAGCAGGTCGTCGACGATCCAAATATCAAGCCGACGGAAGCCCTGCGTAGACCATCCGGTAGTGATTTGTGAGAGATTGTGAGAAGTCCAGGTCCAACCGGTGGTGAAGTAAGAGGATACGATGTGGATTCCGTTTGCGTCGAAATCAGGCCATCTGAGAATCGAACGCCGGAGACACATCTCGGAGATCAACCATAAGCGGTAGCCTGGTATGGAATGCGAGAGTTTGGAATATATACGCAAAGAGAGATGGCGAGAGGATCCGGTGGCGGGGCATCAAACGGAAGGGAGATAGTTTGGTGTTTATATAGGCATTTCCAGAGAGTTTGTGTGACATTTTGGAGAGTTGCTTACGTTTCCTAATCCTATCGCAATCTCCTAAAAGATTCTCTACTCTTTTTTTCAAGTCTCCAACATTACATTACATGGATTCTACACCATTCCTTTAATATTAAATATTTAATCTTCAAAAGCAAGTCAATTTTTAATATCATAACATTAATTTATATTGTTAAAGTATTTAATAAATTTATAATCCCAACAAAAATTCAAACAAATGTTGCGTAAAATAATAGTATAATTAACTAGGTAGAGTATAATAAAAATAAAAGTTATTGTGAAAAAAAAGTAAAAAAATGATTTTTATTATTGAATTAATTTTAATTAAATAGTTCAACTAAATCAACACTAATTAAAAACATCAAACCAATTCTCTTCTAAAACGACATTTATGAGTTGGTTTGAAATTACAGGTGCACAAGGGTAAGGATGGAAATGGGCCGAGAATGCATCCTTGATCCCCGTTTAAGCCCTCCGATCCTAACCCAACCTCGACTAATCCCAACGGATTCGGGGGGAAGGAATCTTCGACAGGTTCGGAGAACTTGTTGGGTAGACATTTAATAAAAAAACAATGTATTTTAAATTAGATATCAAAATCTCAAAAAAATAATGGTCAACGCTAACATATTTTCTTAATTTTAGAGATTACAATAACTATATTATAAACATATTAAATACATTTAAATGGTCAACTCTCTTTAATATTAACTTCTAAATAAAAAAATTTATATTAAGAGATTTTTTTATTTTTTATAGAACGAATTATTTTTCTGTTCAAAATATTTTTACCTTCTTTTTTCTATTTTCTTTATTTTAAATAATCTATTGAAACAATAAAAATCTCCAAAATCTTTATTTTCTCTATTATAAAGAACTAGTGATTTATGATTTCTTCTGCATCTTTTGACTTTCTGTTTATGACTTTAATTGTTTTCTTTCGTATGGTTGAACATCCCGCTAATGGCACTCAACCCCACAACCATTTATTTAAAAGACTTAATGCCAACCGTAATGGAGAAAACTAATGCTTCTTTAATTTTGGATGTGTGATTGCGCACCCATACAAAGTTAACGCATTCTAATGAATTTGATTTGTAGAATGTTGACATTCTCAACCCCTTCTTCTTAAATGGTATCGATGTAACAAGTTGGAAGAGTTTATCTGGAGTACGTGCAAATAATAGCATCCTGGAGCTCGTTCCAGATGTCAAAGTAAGGAGGCTTCAGAAACTTTAAATTCTGCACTAAGTGTTGAAGGGATAACGTTTTAGATATTTGACCACTACTAAAATATCTTTATGGAACTCTGTGTAAAGTCATTCGTTGCAAATTTCATGAAATGATGTATCATATCATAACTTCATAAGCCAATGGAGTGTCATCAAAAGGTAGAACGAAACGTTTAGCTTCCTTACTAGGGTACTATTTCAAAATTAATCAACTTCCTCTAGCCTGTGAAATCAGAATATTTATGGGTTGTTGATCTTTACTTATGTCACATTTTTCACAACTCAACTTTCTTGTTGTATTGTAGATCTTCCAGGAATTACTATGTTGTGTTAAATTATGGGCAAAAGTAGAGGGATGTATGGTAATGTAAGATATTTCGTTCTACTCTCAGCTCTCACATTTATCATTTCTTTTATTTCTTTTTAATTGTATAAAGTGATCTTTTGTAGTTATTTGGGTTCTTTGGTTGTCAAAGGAATCCAGGTGTGAGCTTGGCCGGTCTTATTTCAATCTTTTTTAAGACATTTGCTTTGTAGCCATGGCCAATGCAATGATGCCACCGCCTCATCCTTCTGAAACACGAGCATTAATGCCCATTCAACTTCCTAGCAGCCCACATGAGTATTACCATTCCAACATCACCACTAGCACTATCATGAAGATCAAAAACGAGTTCCAAAGAGGTTATCGTTATAATCATGTGTGTGTGTGTATAGGCATTGTTATGGTTTATTATTGGAGCGATTAATCTTTTGATACCATCATACTTGGCCTTTTGTTGAAAACATGCTTCTCTTCTTGTTTGAAAATACAAAAAAAACGTTAAAACTGTAAGAATGAGTGATTTTGAACAAAAATTACGCAGTATGATGGGTATATGTATGTACCCTAGTATGAAAAGATGCAAAATTGTTGCTATTTTTAATGAGTTTGATTCAAGAAAATATGTTGGTGTAGGATCTCTTGAAGCCTTTGATTGAGGAAACCCCTTTGAACCCTACCCTTACTCAAAGTGTTACCAACAATTTTTCAAAAAGAAGCCTTTCAACTTCTAAAAAGATGAGCTAGTAAAGGTAAAACTTGTTCTATTTTCATTGGAACAATTCCAAAACTCGGAAACTTAAGATACACATTGCAGGTGTATTAAACTGAAGCAATTGAGCTCGGGATTGGCACGTAATGACTTGCGTAAGCTCAAATCTTGGCGCTACTTGCATATAGGCTTGGATTTATGGGTTCAAGTCTTGGTTGTGCAGCCTCTACTTGTATAAACTTTGTACGTCTGGCTCATTTGGGATTTCAAAGCTGAGCTATTTAGACTAGATGATGGTTTGCCAGGCTTCGCAGCTAGCCGGCTCATGCTCAATTCTTTGCAAAATCCTTGTATGTTATTTTTTTTCTAAGTTAGAAGCTTCTTGTTCTATTTGCCATTTTCCCCATTCCCTATTCTCCATTTTGCAGGATCGATATCTATTTCCCCATAAATACCAATTTCATAATGAATAAATATTAATTGGCTAAAAAGGATTACGAGTTAAATTGCATAAAGTATTAAAACCATGATGCACCTGTTGTTTGCTTGGGCTTTGTACATCTTGCTTATGTTGTTGAATCTGTTGTTGCAGCTGGAGGAGTTGTTTGTTTTCTATGACCCCAACCTTTACGAATACTTGGATACAAACATACAAGGCCCAAACGTCTTTTTTTTACTGGGGATTGTTACCTGGCAGGAGCAACTACTTGGATCTAGATTTACTACAAAAAGAGTTCACAAGGAATCTTGTTATGGGTTACAAAGGTCTAATGGAAAAAATGACTCTATCCATTATTCAAGCATTTGAGTTACCCAAAAGCTTGCACCAGCTTGTTGATACCCACCAGTTATTTTCAAACTCGAGCAAACGGTACGGTGTCCCAAATTCCACACCTCATTATTTTCTCGGGTATCTCGCTCCCGAGTATCGGAGTAGTGGGATAATGGGTTAAAGACAGGTATCCCGGGTTGGTTCAAGATTTGGTTGTGCATAAAAATAGAATACTCAAATTTTCTGGCTTTCTTTTTGTTGTTTATATAGATTTCAGAGGGAGGAAGGGTTTGCACATTTGTTAGAGAGAAAAGGATAATCATTTTTTTTTGGTGGACGTCCTTCAAAAGCCCATGATATGATATTTCTTCTTACTATTGCAAATTATTTTTGTGTATAATGTGATTGTGAAGGGATTAGAACATGTGTCTGCAAGCTATTTAAATAATTAATTGGATTTGGATGCACGGAAACCATCAATCTTTCAAATAACATGGTGATATGCGTCGTACTACTTATCCCAACTTATACAAACATTTAAATAACTTTCAAGCAACTATCAAGGAACGAGATGAATAATGAAAGTGTGAACGAGTTACTAAGGTTGTTAAGTTCAGAGAATGAGTTAAGTTATTTCTTTAAAATGGATAAAGTAGGATATAAGGTTTAAATTTCTCTAAATTTAAAATTTTCCGCTAAAATCATTATCATGAGAGATAAATGGTTTTTTTATTATATTTTATTAATAAGTAACCGTGAAAAAAATTGTTTTCGAGAGAAATAATATTTAATTAAACATATAGAATTTCTTAGTGATGTAATATATAAAATAGAGAATGTGTTAGAACTGAATGCAATTATACTACCTCGTCTCGAAATAAATACTCGTATTTCTATTTTATTTAAAATATATATTCTATTTGAAAAATGTAAGTATCTTTGTTTTATAGAAAGGAATTTTCTTTCTCTAATAATAAAGATAACCCTATCATTAAATGAATTAAAATAATGTAATAATATATTTTACAAACCATGTGTATTTTTATATTATGGATATTTACTATGGGAGAAAGGAATATTGTTTAACAGCAATTTCAACAAGTTTACCAAGAAAGACTCCCAAATAAACATTTATCTTAACTAAAAACATTACATGACCAAGATCTTTCAATAACTTGCAAAAACATGTTCAACTCTTTTCACGTTACACACAAAAATAACTTGTAACAGTAAGAAGAAAAATGAATATACAAGTAAAGCAATATAATATCATGGACATTTGAAGGACGTCTGCAAAAAAAAAATGATTATCCTTCTAACAAATGTGCAAATGTGCAAACCCTTTCTTCCTCTGTAATCTATATAAACAATAAAAAGAAAGCCAGAAAATTTGGATATTCTCTTTCTATGCACAACCAAATCTTGAACTAACCCAGGATCCCTCTCTTTAACCCATTATCCCACTACTCGGGTACTCGGATGCAAGATACCCGACAAAACAATGAGGTGTGGGATTTGAGAACACGGGTACCATTTCACTCGAGTTTAAAAATAACTGGTGGGTATCAGCAAGCTGGTGCAAGCTTTTGGGTAACTCAGATGCTTGAATAATGGATAGACTCATTTTTCTCATTAGACCCTTGTAACCCGTAACCAGATTCCTTTTGAACTCTTTTTGTACTAGATCTAGATCCAAGCAGTTGCTCCTGCCAGGTAACAATCCCCAGTAAAAAACGACGTTTGGGTCTTGTATGGTTGTATCCAAGTATTCAGTAGGGTTGGGGTCATAGAAAACACGCAACTCCTCCAGCTACAACAACAGATTCAACAACATAAGCAGGAAGTACACAACCAAGGCAAACAACAGGTGCCTCACGGTTTTAATACTTTACGCAATTTAACTCCTAATCCTTTTTAGCCAATTAATATTTATTCATTATGAGATTGATATTTACGGGAAAATAGATATTGATCCTGCAAAATGGAGAATAGGGAATGGGGAAAATGGTAAATAGAACAAGAAGCTTCTAACTTGGAAAAAAAGTAACATACAAGAATTTTGCAAAGAATTGAACATGAGCCGGCTAGCTGTGAAGCCTGGCAAACCATCCTTTAATCTAAAATAGCTCAGCTTCGAAATTCTAAATGAGCCAGCGTACAAAATTATACAAGTAGAGGCTGCAGAGCCAAGACTTGAGCCCATAAAACCAAGCCTATATACAAGTAGGGCCAAGACGTGAGCTTATATGCAAGCCATTACGAGCCAAAACCAGCTCAATTGCCTCGGTTAGTACACTTGCAATGTGTATCTTAAGTTTTCGAGTTTTGGAATTGTTCCAATGAAAATAAAACAGGTTTTACCTTTACTAGCTCATCTTTTTAGAAGTTGAAAGGCTTATTTTTAAAAATTGTTGGTAACTCTTTGAGTAAGGGTAGGGTTCAAAGAGGTTTCCCCAATCAAATTGTGGCTTCACACATCCAAAATTAAAGAAGCATCAGTTATCTCCGGTGTAGTCTCTTTTAAATAAATGGTTGTGGGGTTGAGACTTGCCATTAGTGGGATGTTCAACCATATGAAAGAAAACAAGTAAAGACATAAAACAAAAAGTCAAAAGATGCAGAAGAAACCATAAATCACTCCAGCTAACCTCAGGAACAGTTGTTACTTAAGTCGAGCATAAGTCAAGTCGATGGAAATTCCATCAAATTTAAATCTCATTAAAGGAACCTTTGCGTCCTTAACACAGTGGATATCCGACACTTCTATTCTCTTTTCAAGCATATTGCGTAGAACTATGAAAAAGTCCTCCCATGCAACATAAAACACAGACTTCACCAATGGTCGCACTTGCAAGATTTCTTTCTGATTGCATACCAATCGAAAAACCAGTAAATAATTCCAAAAAGAAAAAAATGAACTAGCAGTCAATCATCAGCTAGGTGCTGTCGACTCCTTTGAGAGCCACATCTGACCCAAAAGGCCTAATGTTTGCTAGGGCCTTGTAGTGGCCGCATGGACCAGTTGAGCCAAAGGTGCTGGATAACACGGCTTAAGAAAATGAACTAGCAGATAAAATGACACTGTCAAAGAGGCAAGCCAAGGGCCAACACACAGAGCATCAATATCGGACTCTGCATTATGCACCTAAACAAAATTGAAAACAAATTACAAACCAAGAAGATCTTGCTCCATAGTATACCAGATTAAAACCACAAGTTTGCCAATGTGAAAACCATACATAGGTCATATTCATCACTCTTCCCTTCCCTTCCCTTTGTTTTTCCTTTCTTTTGGAGATCATGGTATCCGGCACCTTTCAGCCCTTCTAGTCCTGGTTCATGCAAAGTGCCCCTCCACATGAACCTGGGAAATTTTGGGCCTTCCAGACAACGGGCCCGACCACAAAAAGACTCGTAGTATCTAGCAACCAAACCTATGACCTCATGCCAGATTTGAAATCCCACGAGATTAATGACTCGACCAACCAATTGGAATTCTTGATTTTCTTCTTTATATACCCGATGAATTGAACATAAAAGAAATGTTRATATACTTACATGTCTATAACTTCCATCATGAATTCTACATTTCTACAACTCAACGAGAGCTAGCTCTAGCAAACAAAATTTAAGACAAATTTAATGTAAACTTGATTTATTCTTATTTGCTTCCAGAATGACATTTTGGCACTCTCCTAACTTCAGTCTCCTGTGCATCTTGTATAATACTCAAATCTCAAAAACAGACCTCCACAAAACAGCTTGGACATTACAAATGTCATATCCTAATTAGTCTCTTCCCTTTACTTTCTTTCTTGTCCCTTCTTCTAGTCTCCATATCATCATTATTTTCAGCTATACCATCCAATAGTTACTTTAAATTGCAGTCACAAGTCACAATTGCCATTTATGTTAAAGTTTGCACACAACATAATGATAAACCGTGAGAGCTTCTTTCCATACACTGATGCAGGCACGTAGTGGTTGTTATGATCTTTTAGCATTGCAACTTCTTTATGATCTCACAACCATACACGCATATTGTTCTTGTATTCTGCTTTTAAAACTTAAATAACTTCTAACTCAAACTACGGGCTTAAAAGAAAGATGAACCCAATTAAGAAAACAATACCAAATAAATCACTAGAAAGAACGCAGTTAGATTTAACAACAGTGAAAAAACTAATTGCATTTAAAGCATTACCTCTTTAAGTTTTCGAATGACATTGTTCCTCCTCAGTTCCTCTTCTCGAGAAGGCACAAGACACTCATCGTTCATAAACTGTAAAGAACAATGCAGAAAGTGTAAACATTCTGGCCATCATAAATTCCGCGCATAACATGACAATTGAAAATCGTACATTTCTGTAAAAATAAAAATCTATGCCAAATTTTATAAAAACCGAACAGTTCTGACTAAAGGACATCCAGCAAGAAGTAATCAAGAAACAAAAAAAGTAGTTAAACTAGGGTTTTTTAAGTATATAAAATCCTGCTTGTTGAAGAAAGATTGATTTCTCCAGTTCAATTCGAGCCACCACAGCAGGATTCAGAGCAAATCGCTCCGGCACCAACACTCGGTGATGATTATGTAGGAAATTAGGGTTTACGATATTGAATATATACGCAAAGCGAGATGGCACTGCGAGAGGATCCGGTGGCGGGCATCGATAACAAGGGAGACAGTTTGGTGTATTTATAGGCACTTCCAAAGAGTTTGCGTGCGATGATGTGAGATTTTGGAGAGTTGTTTACGCTTCCTAATCTTATCGCATTCTCCTAAAAGATTCTCTGATTTGTTTTTGAAGTCTCCAAAATTACATGGATTCTACAAAATTCCTTTAAAATTAAAATCTTCAAAAACAAGTCAATTTTTTTAAGGGGGTGTTTGGGATTGCTTATCAAAAGTGTTTTTTAATTTATTTCAGTCTGACACCCGGAGATAAGTTATTTTCTAGTATTTAGATAAGAAAAAAAAAAGTTGCTTATATCGGTGTCAAACCGATAATAAACAGTTTTTGATAAGTTAATCCTTCTTGACTTATGAAAATTAACTTATTACCAGTTTACCATTTTAACCCTATGAAACAACCTTCCTCCGATACACAGCACATACATCATCATCGATATCTCTTCTCCAGATATCTCATCTTCACAAAAAGATACACAGCACATATACATCATCATCGATATCTCTTCTCCAAATTTAAAATTTTAATTCATGACAATTACCTTCTTTATGATAAATAAATGGAATCGATGAATAATTTATTCTGCATTCAGCTGTTGTTTGTCGAGAATCGAAAGATTATGTGGATTGTGAAGATTAGCAACTTGTAGATAGAATCGAACCACTCTCTCTTGATTGATCTCAAATCACCGTTAATTGAGACAAGGGATGGACGTTGGAAAAACACCAATCGTCAGCCCAAACCGCCGTCCAACTTGACGGTTCATCACCGGTCTTCGTTATCCTCTCCTTTTTTACCACCACCGTTTCTTCTACATCTCTGCTTCTTTTCCGGCAGCTAACAGTTTCACTTCCAATCTCCAGAGGGACATTCAGAATATAGCTTTTCTCCCAGGCACTTCAAATGCATCCCTATCATAGGCTTTTGCAGCTCCAATAGCTGTATCAAACGTCCCCAACCAAACCCTAGCTCCATTACGTTTTGGATCTCTGATCTCAGCCGCATACTTTCCCATGGCCGCCGTCGTACTCCTCTGTAATGAACCTTCACCTCCTCCACACACACTCTGTTTCCTTCGAATCGACCTCCAAATGCGGTTTTCCAGATCTACTATCGAAAGATTCTGGTACTGTTGAATGATGAGAAATTGATGTTTGAGAAGTGAAAACAAGGCAATCAGGAGTATCGTTATCATATTCGTAGAGCAGGTGGTGTCTGATGAACTGGAGAGCAGAAACTTCATCCAAAGTCGCCATTGTTGATGGAAAAGAGGAAGATTGAAGAATGAGAGAATTAGGATGATAGTGGAATAAAGAGTGAAGGGATTATTAATGGTATTGGTATAAATGTTTGTTAATTATTAATGTTATTGATATAAATTATTAATCTTATTGATATAAATTTTTGTCAAAGATATTATTATAAATGATAAATTTTTATATGTTAAAAAAATCAAATAAGTTAATAACCAATCTCAAATATTTTTATAAGTCAATAATACGGAAGACTGTCCTTTTTAGTCATTTTACAGATATAAGCAAAAATTTGTCAAACACTTAAAAATAACTTATCAACTTATTGCAGTTTGGTATCGCTATAAGCTAACCCAAACACTTTTTACAAAACTCCGATTTGATACCACATAAGTTAATAAGCACTTTTACAGAAAAACATAAGTTGTTTTAGATAAGCAATCTCAAACACCCCCTAAATATCATGACATTGATTTATATTGTTAATTTAATGGATTTATGATCCCAACGAAATTTCAATCAAATGGTATATCTATATCTATACTATATTATAAAGCATTTGGCTAAAACTTTTAGGGTGCGTTTGGTGCGCGGACAGGACAGGACAGGACAGGACAGGACAGGACAGGTGTTCAGCGTTTGGTAAGACATGACAGGACAGGTTAAAATGACCAATTTACCCCCAGTAACCTGTTTAGTGTTTTTTTCTCTAAATAATCAATATAATAAATGCTTACAAATACTATTTAAAAATATCAAAAAATTTCCAAAATCAATCGTAATTAAAAAACCACATTAGCAAATCCAAAGATTTAAACATCATATTCACAAACAAAAAGTGAAATGTTTCCCAACAGACTTAAACACAAAAGATCAAATKTTTACAATTGTGTACCAAAAGACTTCAACACAAAATATCAAATGTTTACAATTGTGTACCAAAAGACCTAAACACAAAAGATCATATGTTTAGCAACCAACATCA